ACTAATTACTGTTATTCCTCATATGTCCTAATTCTTTTTTTTAAGGATTTTTTTCTAACCATTTATATATTAGTTGTTATTTAAAAAGTTATAAATTATGTATAATATTTTTAATATATATATATATATATATATATATATATATATATATATATATATATATATATATATATATATATATATACATATATATATATATATATATATATATATATATATATATATATATATATATATATATATATATATATATATATATATATATATATATATATATATATAATATTCATAGCTTATTTAACTTTAATAACAACAACTTGATATAAAAAACATACTCACAAAAGATATAAGCTTTTTTTTAAGTGTTTATATTTAGTAAGAAACAACTCTTTTCTTTTTCCACTTTTTTCAAGAATATTATTTTACTTTAAAAAGTTAATTTATTGCAGAAAATTTACAAATAAAAAACTGGCTACCTCTGTAGTAACATAAATTCAAACATTTTTTTTTTCACAGAAAAATCAAAAAAATGTTTAATCCACACATTTTTTTTACTTTTCTGTGTTTTTTATTTACAAAATTTATCATTAATTTGATAATATACAAAAAAAAAAAAAAACTGAAGAAATCTCATGTAACATACTTTAGTGAAAACTTGGATTTTTTTACCCCTGAAAATCCTGCTCTTAAAAAGCCAAGTTTAAAAAAATTTAAAACTAACATTTTCGGTTAAAAAATATTTAAAATATTGAAAAATATTTTTAAAAAAGTAAAATACTATTTTTACTTTGCAGCGCTTTTTGAGTTGTTGAGAAGATTTCATTTTATTACATACTAGTAAATGATTAAAAAAACTAGCTCTTTCCAGCAGTTTTACAAAAGAGGGATATTTTTACAGTTTCACCCTGTCATATAAAAAACCTCACCGGTCTGCATTTTTTAAATTGTTAGACCTCAGGTTTAAGATGTAAGTATTGCAAACAAATTATCTAAAAGATGCATTGAAACAAAATAATAGCAATAAAAAATAATTTATATACTAGGTTTGAAAAAAACTTGTCTTTTTAAGAGAGTTCTTTGAGTGTACTCAGTTCTTTAAAGTCATTAGGAGATAAGTGTAACTTATCAAAAATTCATTTATTATATTTTTTTGCTGCCATTTTTGCAATAGTATTGTATTAACTTCAGTTTGATGTTGAAGAATCTTCATAACAACATTAACAAATGAAGCTATACCGGTTAGAGAAATAATCAAGGATGCAGAAGACACTGGACTTAAAGAAAACTTTGGCATTAGCAAAGATATTTTAGGAGCTTCATTCTTTGTTTTTAATTGTTATTACATTTATTTGCATCATTATCACTTTCGTCCTAATTATATCAGTAATCATTCTTTCTAAAAAAAGTTTTTTGATGCTGTTATAGAAATGATAATTATCAAAAACAAACACACATTTATTTATACACAATTCAAACTTAAAAAAACTGGGTAGAAGTTCTAGTTAAACTAAATACAACATGAAAAAAAGTTAGATAAAAATATTATAATAACATAAAATATCCTAAAGCAAGATAATCAAAATTATAACAAAAAAATAATAGCCTTATAATTACACTGCATTAAAACACATAAATATAACAAAAAAAAAAAAATTGCCTAGTACTTACACTGCATTAAAACTATTTGCATAATATCAATTAAATCAAAATATATGTTACCTTCATTTACATCATGTCATTATTTACTTTTGTTGGCAGAATTGTCTGACAATATTAACCTTCTGTTTGCAAATCTGAAGTTTAGTGTAAACTTTTTTGTATGTATCCGAATAAAATAAAATGCTTATTTAATATATAGGTTTTTTGGTAAATATTCTAAAGGTCAATTGATTGTAATTTGATTTACAATTTAATGATATTTAGAAAAATTAAACATTTTTAATTTATTAAATTGTTATTTTTAAAACCTGAAAAGGTTAAGCATAAAATACCATAACTTTTTTATTTGCAATTTTTTGTTAGAATGTTATTTGTAAAATTAAAACAAATAGTTAAATATAAAATATTATATTTACCTGTGCTATGGATCGTGGAAATGCTGGGCTTTGACGAATTTAATATTTTTCTGCATTAATTTAATTGTTTGACATTTCCACGACAATAAAATAGGTTAAGAGTCGAGGTAATAAAAATTGTAGTCGAAAGAAACTTTTTAAAAGTCTCTGTATATATATATATATATATATATATATATATATATATATATATATATATATATATATATATATATATATATATATATATATATATACATTTATGATAGCATGCATATTTTGCAATTCCACTCTTGCATTAAATAGTTTTATTTATATTGAACACAGGTTATATTAAACCACCTTGAAAAATTGCTACAAGCAATTATAGAATCGTAAGTGCAAGTCATAAAGCAAGTATAATGCAGCTGAATATTACATTTAAGGGATTGTTATTCCTAATATTTAAGTAGGTGGTTACCTCAGGTAATGAGAAGGATTTAAACTTTCAATCCTGAAATACTTTTTTAAGATGATACTTTGTGAACCACTTATCAGGTATTAAACTCTCTGGTTGATCACCAAAGTGAACAGCATTTGCTATAGAAAATAAGCCACAATTCAAACTTCCAATCTGTTGTTGAAACTTTTAAGGATTTTTAAAATACTTGGTGAAAATTGACAATCAAAATAAGTTCTTGTAACATATGGCCAACTGGTTAATTAAACTTGAATCTAAATTCCTAAACATACTATGATTAGTGAAATAGACCAGTTTGTTAATCAGGAGGTGACCCAGTTGGAATTAATAAAGTGGATCTGAATGGAATTTCTATCTTTACTTATTGCCATGAATCCATCATCAGGTATCCTGCAAACCAAAAATATCAGAAAATTGCTTCTTTATGATCATTTGGCAAAATTTATATATTCATCAGTTAATTTTTCATTGTCTTATATTATTTTTTAATTGTTTGTGCAAAAGTAATAGTAAATTTTTCGGTAGTAGGTTTAGACTATTTCTCTGAATATTTTTCAACTATATCAACATTGTTGATATAGTTGTTACAATATGCGGAATCACATTATCGTATGGAGGAAAATAAATATTTAAGCAAGCCATTTTATATAATTGTTTTAACTTCTTATTGCAATCATTTACATAAACGAGAAATATTCTTTTTCAACATTTTCAAATTTTTTTGGGGCCTGTCCAATTAATTAGGTTCCAGCTTTGAATCTTTTCTGGAAAACTTTTTAAAATTTCTTATTAAGACTAGAGTGCCAACTTTGTACGAGTGTTTATCGGAACAATGTTTAGCATCACGCACTTTTTTTTTGGCGTTTATGAGACTTTTGAATATTTTTTAGAACATTTTTTCGCATTTCTATTACATTCTCTGTGTTTGCAAACTCTCGTCAATAGTATGTTTACTTTCAACATTGCTTTTTATCAATTTTATTTGCAAACCAACAGGAAGTCTAGCTTTTCGTCCATAAACTAGAAAAAAAAGGGTATATTTTCTAGACACGGTATGAAAATAAAATGCTCTCTACGTATAGATCCCACGTGTTTTGGCTTTCATCAACATATTTTTTAAAATTGACGCTGAAGAGTTTGATTAAAACATTACACTTTGTTCCCAGCATTTCTTTACCGTTTCATTATTCGAGTTTCTAGTTTAAAACATTTCTGCAAGGGGGCTGGTGTAGAATATCAAAAAAATGTTGAGATTCTCAAAGTTTTATAGATCAGCTTCAATTCCTGCTATCGAAAAAGTGCTTAAGTTAAATCATTTTAGGCGTGAAAAATTATTCGAAAGTGATGTTTGATGTTGATAAAATAATACTATTTTTTGTTTATAGGCAAGCTAGTGTTTTTTATAACACATTAAAAAAAAAATGATATTTATAAAAAGATGATATTTCTGCTGATGAAGTTGTATTTGTGTTAAAGTATTTGAAAGACCGATAAAATCTAAAAAAAAGTAAGATTTCTACCTTACATAGTCAGACAACATCTGCAAGCTACCGAAGATAGTAATCACCTTTAAAATAATCATTGCAAAACCAATTTCTGAAAATGAACATTTTTTACTGTGTGTACCTAGAAAATTAAGAAAAAAAATGGATATGTCACATTTATTAGATTAACTTTATAAATATTTTTCAAATATATTTAAACTTTTTTTTTTCCTCAACGTGTTTTGTTTTGATTTGTTAACGTGTGGAATTTTTCTTGATCTTACAAACCTCAATACCAGTGTTGAATTCACACTAAGGCATGAAGAGGGTGGAAGAGGGTGGAAGAGCTTCAACCCAGCGTTTTGTACAATGTCTTATATACGTAACAAGTCCATATAATGTTCTCAAGACAACCAACAAACGTTCAGTACCTGCTGGGAAAATAAACCTTGCAGAAAAAAATTGTACAAACTGGAGGAAAATAAATTTCTTTCTTTATGCTTGCATTCAGTAATACGTCTCGTGTAAATAAATTTTAAATAACCAAACCATTCCAATAATATTAAGTTTTTTATTTTTTTAACAAGAGTTGTTAACCAAAGTAAGCTGAGCAAACTCAAATTATAGATTGTTTAGTATGATAAATGTTTAGTATGATATTTATTGCAAGTGTAATTTAAAAAAATAATGTTTCTGGGAGCAATGTGTCACCCCTAACCCCTGTCACTCCTACTCATTTTCCTGCTATCTCCCCTCCTCCACGACGCTAAACATCAATCCACTGTTCTTGCTTTTTACGTTCTTGCTCTTTATGCTCTTTATTTTTTTAGTCACAAAATATTAACTGTGTCTTTCAATAAAGTTGTATTTAATTTAACAATTTTGAAACATTCTTAAAGTTTTTTCTTATTAGGATGATTTGCTTTAAAATACTTTTTTTCTTTAAAATACTTTTTTAACCATAGTAAGTATTATATTGAGTATATAAATTTTTTTGTTTAGGTTAATGTGAGCCTACGTATTAAACCAAATCATTTTTGGCATGAAGAAGTTTCAACAAGTTTTTCTTTTGATTCTGTTGGTATAAAAAACTTCACTTCAACCAATAATCTAGCATCAATATTATCTTTCTCAGTAAGGTTAGAACAAAATTTGCAAAGTATTTCTAACAAGTTTTACTTTTTATTAATTTTTAGTAGGAAATAATTGTACACTTTTTTATTTATTTATTTTTAAGTTTTTATATTTGAAATCTTTGAGTATTTAAATTTGAAATTTCATACTTCAATCATTATAATGTTTTGACGATATTTATTTGTATTATTAGGCTCTATAAAAAGATTGAGATGATATTACATCTCCCATAATATATTAGATATCCTAGGTACTCTTTGTTGGTTTGTTTGGTTGTTTTACATATCTACTTTACTTGATGACGATGAATAAAACCGAGTAGCAAAAAATATCTCGGGTTTATTCATTGTAATTACGATGAATAACGATTCATCGTAATTAGGATGAATAACGATGAATAACGATTCATCGTAATTGAGTGAAATGGCTGTCTTAAACAATCTCAAGAGTATGTAGTGATGTAATAATGCAATATTAATAATGGGGGAATGTTGCTTTTATAGTTTACATACTGTAAAATTGGGTCAATATTGCTTGCTACTCAGAAATTCAGTGTAATACCAGGTAATAAGGCCCTGCACTATTTAAAATATTAAAAATTTTTTTGCAAAACTTCAGCTAAATTTAGACATTAAATTGGTATATTTTTAGTTCTAAATGAAGTGCAGATTTGGTCTTTACGCTCCTAGCAGAGGTAATATCAAAATTAAAAGCTTTTCTTTAATCTTTATTTATCAAATCCTGAAAAGAATGTTTAAAAAATTTGCCCTTGTATGTAACAGTATAATTAGCCAAATTGTAAACTCATTTTTTTAGCTATACTTTGAGAACAATAATAAACTCATGGTTCATTTAACTTTATCAAATTTGCGTTTTTGTTTAATATTTGCTATGAGTTAAAAAAAATTAAGTTATAAATCTTTAAAAAGAGTATTTTATAAAAACTAATATTTACTCGACCAAATCTAACAAATAATCAAATTTCTATTTTACTAGTAAAGCTCCGTGTCCTACAAGTGCTTTATAATGAATAAAAATACTGTGAAGGAAGCAGGAGCGGATCCAGGATTTTCTTGGTCTTTGAGATAACTAACTTTCATAAAGCAAACTCCAAACATTTATATGTTAATACTTATGTCTAATAAGGATGCTTTGCAAAAAATTGCAATGATTGGAGCCTGGGAACAAAAAAGTCTTAAAATTTTAGCCCCTCTGTCCAAATTGTGAGAGCAACAAGTTGATAAAACATTTTTTTTTTACTATTCTTAACTAGACTTTATTCATCCAAAAATTTTAAATTTTAAAGTAAAATATTTCATCGTTCAAAAATTAAGACCATATAAAGTTTGAACCCCCCTTAAATTGAAGGAGTTGGACTTTTTATAATGTCAGAATTTATACGCTAATAGATTATACTTTCAAATTTAAAATATATCGAAAAATATAAATCGAATGGTACATTATCAACTTTTAACTAAAAATTGACTTATCGAAAATCAAAATAAGTCGACTTTAAAAAATCGAACAGCCGATTTAATCGACTACGGATTTCCTACTAATCATTTTAAAGTCGATTTAGTTGAGTAGTAAACTTAAAATCTATATCTTTTCATTCAGTTTAATTTTTTTCAATTTTAAACTTTTGTTTGCTTATTTGATAAGAGCAGCATGTTGTATTATATATTTACATGTTGTATTATATATTTTTGTGTACTCTCTTTAGGTTTTATAAAACTCTTACCAGGTTCCAAGCTGGCATCTGGTCCTAAAAAGATGTCTTTTAAGGACCAAATGCCGACTGGGTTAGCAATATTTATACTTAATTAAAGGCTTAATAAAAGGCTCGGAGCCATTGCGCTAAATTAAATCGTCACGCTCCAAAATTTAACTGTCATCTATTTAATAATAAAGTAAATACGATTGGATACACTTTTTAAAATTTAGCAAGTATTAAAGGTCAAAGGGGTCTGGGAAAAAGCGCTTATGCTCTCTCTTTTTTTTTTGCTACATATTTCTTAAATGATGTGATCTTGAAAAATAGAAAACAAACAAAATTTACTTTATTATTCTTATTAAAATTTATTTAAAAAAAAAATTAATACTTTTATAAATTTACATTAAAATTTCATAACGTTTTATGAACTATAAAAGAAGTTCTATAAAATACTTTTTTTTTTTTGAAGCGCAACTTAAATAGCAGTCTAATTTTTTCTCTTTTTTTTTGAAGTTTAAATTGCGATGACAATTTTAAGACACCTGATTGTGTTGAAAAAATTTGTGTTGAACACGATGATGATATAAACGGACACTATACATGCAGTAAAAATGGAACTGTTATATGCAGAGATGGGTGGATTGACCCGTTAACAAAATGTCGTTCAGGTATTTACATTTTGTTTTATTAATATTTTCTTATTTTTTGTTTTTTTTAGTATTATATTGAAAGTGTTTCATTAGTTTGTTTGAATAATGTATTAAATGTAGTAAATAATATGATGTAAAAAGTCCTATATTAAAAAATGTGATTGTTTAATTCAAACAAATGTAATTTAAAGTTTTCAAGATAAGTAACTCTAAGGAATAGAAATAATTGCAAACATAAAGTAGCAACAAAAACGAAGAACTCTTGAATAGCTATTTATTTAATGTCTAAAAATTGTAACACTTCTTATAAATTTTGTTTTTCTTTTTTCCCCCTACGAGTGTCTTGCCTCTGCAGTTTGTTGTTAATTGCCGAAATATATATATATATATATATATATATATATATATATATATATATATATATATATATATATATATATATATATATATATATATATATATATATATATATATATATATATATATATATATATATATATATATATATATATACTTTTGATAATAATAATTATTGTTCTAAATTATTTGCTTTTAGTTTCAATGCATCCTCAAAGTAAGTTTTATTTCGCTTTCATAACATAACGTTCTTGTTATTTTTTCTAAATTGTCTTAAGCTAAACATGTATTTTGTTTTCAATGTTTTTTTTAATAAAGTTAAAACTTACAAATATTCCTAATTAAAATTATTTTAAAAGTCTCAAGGGTTGGTTGTTATAACGACTTTGGAATTATTGCTGGAATGCGATTGTTTTCAACGCTTATAAACTACCGATCTTTTATTAATTGGAACAACAGATATGGTAGCTTCAAAAATTTAACTGAGTTATGTTCATCTTTTGTTAAAGATAACAGTTTTGAAGTTAGTGACCTAATCTATTTAATAAAATTAGAAAATTATTTACAATAATTTGTTTATATAAGTTTCTTTTTAATTTTAAAAATGATTTTTTTGTTTTTTTCTATTTCTTTACTGAGTTTCAAATTAACATTAGTTTTATTTTTCAAGTACTTTGGTATTTCATACTGGGGAGAATGTTGGACTGGGTCAATACTTGATATCAACTACAATCGAGATGGCGAATCCTCTGGTTGTTGGCCTCGCCAAGATGCGAACTTAGGACCAATGCTTGTTGGTAAAGAAGCAACAATTATGGTTTATAAATGGAATTATGAATCGACTAAATAGTTTGTTTATAATAGTATATAAACATTGTTGTGTAAAGATATATTTTATTCTGTTATTCACAGAACTTATATATATATATATATAAAAGTTTTGTTTTTAATTATTTTTTATTCTTTATACCTTATACAATTATAACAAAACAAAAAAAGTTACATTTAAAGACATAGTTAAAAATAAATAAATAAAAACGCGGAAAAGGAAAACAATCGCTAAATCATTTGTTTATAGCTAAAACTTTTAATATTTGAAATTGAATTATTAAAAATTATAAGTGAACTTTTTTTAGGTTGGTTTATTTATGGTATATGATTGGTGTTAGGGCGCGTAGTTAACAAATTATTGAGCTTTTCAAGAGGTTAGTTCTTCCTAGTAGACATACGTCGTCTAGAAAACGTCTGTCACACGTCTTACGGACGTCTGGACTTCCCTGTTAAGTCTGGTGGATGTTTCCGGAAGACACGTGCCCACTGTGTTGCGAATATTTTTAGTTTTCTAGAAAAAATATTATTTCTCTTTGTCATTCACAGCAATTCATTAAACTTTTAAGTTTTTAAAATTTTTCCATGTCCATTTGAATCTAAAAAAATATTTTTAATTTGTAATAAATCATAGGTACAATTCTATCTTGTTTTGTTTGGCTTTTTTGAATAAATCTATTATGATTTATTTGTATAATAGGTTTATTATTGAGTTAATTTATTATACCTATTATACAAATCTAAAATGAATTTTTCAGCAACTCTATTTGTTTCATTTTGCTAACTCCATAATGATGAACACTTGTCAAAATTATTTTTGAATAAACTTTCTTAAACCTACAGTGAAATTTGTACCACTTTCTCCACATTAGTTTTGCTATTAAGTCTAAGACTAAGACATCTAAAATGCTGTGGTAACTGAAAAAATAAGTCAAATTTGTTGCATCAGAACAAATAGTCAATTTTTGTGGTAAACGATTAATAAGTCGAATTTGTGGCAGCTGAACAGGTAAGTCTAGTGCTGTGGGAACTGAACAAACAACTCAAATTTGTGGCGGCTGAGCAAATAAGTCAGGTGTTGTAATAACTGAACCAACAAGTCACTCTCTTCTTGTTAATGATTTCTTTTGTGCAAAATTTCTTACAAATTTATATCGTCATTGAACAATTTGTCATCGTTATTATCTTCATCTTCATCTCTATCTTTCTGAACTTTTTGAATCCTGAATTTGATATATTTTAAAAGTTTTTATAAAGTTGAAGCACTGTCTGTTGATGCAGCAGCTCTCTTGTTTTGTATTTTATAGGTTGTATGTTAGGTTATATTTGTATTTTATACAAAGCAGCAGCCAAAAAATTTCTGAAGACACTGAATGAAATTAAAGAGTCTAATGATTTATTAAGTAGCAAGTCACCTTTAATATACCCTTTTTACCTTTACTTTAACAGTCAATTTTGGTTCGAACACACATAACAAAACAGTAGTTTATTACAAAAAATCTTCACGTCATATACCCTAATTTCACCATATTCACAAACGATGGTTTCTTAACTATAGTTAAAGGTGTTCACTAACAGCAAAGTTTACAAAAAGTTGATTTTTGGATTTAATTTAAAACGATCATTTTATATTAGTTTCAAATTTCTTAAGAGCAGATTGCACTTTTTTCATATTATCTAAAAAACTTAATTTTTTTTTTAAACAAAATCATTTTATTATTACTTTAAGCTACAGCTTTTTGGTTTATGAATGATCTTTACTAATAAATAAATCAAATCTGAAACTTTAGCAAATTCAAAAAATTCTATATTTTATATAACTTGTCATATGCTTGCATTAGGTTTTTTTTTATTTTTAAAGTTTTTATTTTCTATCGCTTAGGTCTTAGTTTATCATTTACTTCTTAAACACTTGGGAATAATTTTATTGTTGTAAAATAACCCGACTTAAATTGAACCATGTTCAAACAAATTGCGCAGAAGTAGTGGCGCGTACAAATACCGCAATTTGTCTTTTGTTTTCACTTGTTATCATAATTAACACGTATTTTTTTAATTTTAAAAACTGACCGTGGAATTAAGTATTAAATATTTAACAAAATATTAATTAAATGTTTACATTTATTATATACTAGCTGTCATGACCCGTACAATACGGGTCGTGGCAAGTCTAACCCACACCCATTTCTAATTTTATTCCTAATTTAGTCTTTATACTTCAATTTATTTAAGTAAACGTCAAAAAATAAATCAATTTAAAGTTCAGGTAGTTAATAAAATGCGAATTTTTGTGCGAACTTATTGCTTGTTAGCATATAAGACAGTTGCGTAACATTTCTTCAAGTGTTTATAAAACCTAAGCTGATAATATTATTTTAACTTCGAATATTTTGGAAACTTAGGCAGATAATAATTTTTTAACTCTCTCCTAAGGGTTTTTTCGGACAATGAAAAACGGGCCCAAGACACCTAGTTATTTTAAATAAGTTAGTTTTATCTGTTTAATAATATTTATAAAAACCTTTCTGTAAAAAAACTCTTAACAAATTCATACAATTAAGCTGCTTTTACTGCGGAATTCGGCAAATAAATTTATAATCCTGTTGTTTGTGCAATCGATACTTAATGCAAATGAAAACCGCCTTGATTGTACAAAAGGTGATAAAAGTATAAATCGTTTCCATTCACATAAACAACGACAACGGAAATATAAAAAACAAAGTAAAATAGCCATTATACCTATTCAAAACAATAAATCCAAAGATAAAAAAATTTAGAAAGTTATTTGAGAAACAATTAAAAACATTTTCTTGAGATAAAATAAAAAAATAAACTACAAAAAATTTTAAATTCAAAAATACTTATAAAAACAATTTAATTTGAAACATTCTTTTATTATTACATATCTTTTAGTAAATGGTATGAAGATTATCAAGCTTCGTTTTAGTTTTTTGAATACAATCAATATTCAAAACATTTCTTAAATAATACTTTGTAGGAACTTTAAAAATCAGTCATAGGAGAAGGAACTCTACCCAAAAATGGAACAAAATTATTATTAAATACGCTTATTAGACTTTAATTTGTTATGTACTCTATTTATTTATTTGAATTTATTTGAAAACTCAAAAATGTGACTAAACAGATAACAAATCGTCAGGTTAGAATTATTTTGTTCTAACTCTCCATTTGTTTAAACTGAGATAAATCAAGTTGAAGTTTTACATTGCAATCCAGCAGAAGTGAAAATACATTTTTTAATAATGCAAACATTTTTCAATACTTGACTACATACTCATTATAATTATTTGTTGTGAAAAATTTTTTGCTGTTCAAATCGCTATTATGGCCCCACCCTGTTTGGAGATAGAACAAAATAACTTTTAAATTTTAATTTCGCGTTAGTATTATTTTCTGCTATATCCATTTTTTAGTAAATACAACTTGAACGTTTTGCAAGGAGTTGATGGATTACAAGTAATTACTTTTAATTTAGAGATTTAAAAGCAAATATAGACCCTAAAACACTTAGTTGGCAAATTAAAATGGATATGGTCATTTAATAAGTTTTCTAGATATATTGCTTTTGGTTAAAATCAGTTTTAACAAACTGATTTTAACCAAAGCTATATTATTTATCATAAAATTACTTTTATCTAAAAAGATTTATTGAAAATAAAAAATAAATGTCTTTAATACAACAAATAACAAGTTAAGAACAGTTTAAATGAACCTTATACAAAATAAAACTGAATAATGCATAACACAAATAAAGTAAATCCAGATAAAGAGTTGAAAAAACAACTACTGAAATAATGTTTTATACAAACAAACATCTACAGCTGAAATGTAAGGATACATGGAAACAATGTCTTTTATCTTCTCACTAGAAATTTCAATATTTTGTCGAAAACAAGATGCAAATGGAATTGATGATTCTTCAAGATTATTTCCTGATGATCGAGTGTTTTTTAGCTTAGACAGCCGTGCCTCTATAAAAAAATCTGTAAAACGAGTCTTAAAATACACATGACCTGGAGCATTAAACCTATATACAAGCGTTTTAACATTAAAGTATGGAACATTTTTGTAGTTTAGAAGACTAGCAATTTTTGGAAAATTTTTAATGTCGCTTTTTTGCATTTGGTATACAAAAAAATGGTTTACGTTGGTTAATATTCAACACTCTTTGGTTGCTTTCACCAACCCAAGAGGACTAAATATTTCTGCTTAATGTAATGATTTCTCAATCTGACTATGTATATTATCACATTTCTGAATAGAGCTATGTCCTGGCTCACAACTTTTATGCTCAATGATTTCAATATTTGGGTGATCAATAAGAAAAGCAATGCAGCTGACATATGACTGTTTTTATTCTGTGGAACGCAAGAATCAAACCAAAGTATAAATTTTTTAATATTAGGAAGATCCTTGTAAACTTTATTTAGCATACATATCACAGCACTGGCAATTTCGTTACCAGAACGACCGGACATACCCTCATGCCATAATATACAATATGCTTTTTTGTTCAGTGAAGAGTGACCTGTTAAGTTATAACAGCTGAACTTTCTTTAATAAAAGAAGTTTTCCACATTACTTTTCGGCGAGCTCAAGACATTTTCTAGATCAATACAAACTATGGTTGTGGAAGGGAAGTTCAACTTTCGATTCATATCTCTATCGGTTTTTGCTTAATATATATATATGCTTGTTATTATTTTGGATTCGCTCTTCATTTGCATCTTCAATAATTTGACATTTTTAGCATGTATCACACTGATCCTTTTTCAACTTTTGAAATTCAATATTAAATTTTGTATTAAAAACATTGCGGTACATACAAGCCTTTGCTGGTGAAATTTCATGTTGAGTGCAATATGTTAAAAACAAATTATAAAGGTTCTTCAAATTTAATGACCCATCAAAGTATTGTTTGCAGGAAATGCTTCGACAATAATGTGACTCAACTCGTGGAAACAAGTTGGTATGGTTTTCTATACTCTGTTTAGTCATTTCAAGAACTTTTTTTTTACAATGGTTCCCCAATTTTTTTGTGGCAGAAACACCAGTT